CAAGCTTTTTCTGTCTTATTAAAGTTTATGACTTTCTATGTCTAAAAACTGGTATCATGAAATTTTGAGTACACAAAAGTTCATTGCACTCACTTTTTAAAAATTCTGATTTTGGGCATTTCTACCTAGTATATTTATATATATATAATGTTCTCACCTTTACCATATTTCTGAGGATAGTCAAGTTTTGTGTGTGTGTGTGTGTGTGAGAGAGAGAGAGAGAGAGAGAGAGAGAGGGAGCGAGAGAGGGAAAGAGAGATGCAAGCTGTTTTCTTTCCCTATCATAATGCTGATATTGAAATATGCTAATATAGTTGTTTTCAATGCTAATTTTCATACCTCTTGAGTATTTTTATATATGTATTTTGATAACTTTAATAACTTCAAGTGATGTCTGTATAATTGTTCAAGTGCAGCCCTCACTAACAAATGTGCATGAAAACTACTGAATAAACAGTCTTGAAGGTTTTTCAGCGTGATTGCATATTTGAATTCACAGAAGCTTCTTGTCAATAATCAAGTGAGCATAGAAAATTATAAGTTTGTAAAGTTGTTCTCTACCTTTTCCTAGAATCAGAGAGAAAAAAGAAGTGTTTAATCATCAGATGAGTATTTTGAAGACTCCTTCGCTCTGTTGAAGTCGAGGGGGCGGTGTATGTGTATGTTTTAAACTAAAAAGACAAGATTATTTCAAGCACTCCCCTTTCCCACCCCCACAGAGGGAACCACTGCTAATGATGTTTATTTTATTCTCCCAGAAAATTATAATACTTATTTAAGCAGATAAATTTATGTGAATGTATGAAATGTATATTTCCCAGCTTCTCCCTTTTTTCTCATTAATAACATTTGAAGATCTTTCCATATAAGTAGTGGCTACATTCTTTTTAATGACTACAAAGCATTCCATTATATCAATGTGCTACCAAACCCAGGAGTTCACTGTTTGGGGTGTTCCATTCAAGAACAAGATGTGACCCTGGCTGAGTAGCTCAGCTGGTTAGTGTCCTCCCAGATAAGCTAAAATTGTGGGTTCAGTCCAACGTCAGGGCACATACAAGAATCTAACCAGACACTAAATGGGTCTGAGGCTGCCTGTCACTACTTGAGCCAAATTAAGCAGAGACAGGGTTGAATATAGATGAGCATTTATTCCAATAATGCCAGCAGTATGGGAGAGCAGCAGGTCATCCTGAAAATTCTGCTCTGCCTTTTTCTGCCAACTGGCTGATTGTATGTATAAGGAAGAGGGGAAGATACTTATGTGTAGCTGCGAGCTGCAAGAGTAACAGGGAAAGGGGAGAGAAGGGTCTGCAGTCTGGCCTCCAGGAGCTGGAATTCTGATAACAAGGTGACTAATCTTCTATGATGTTACTAACAGCTCCGCGGTTCCTGGGACCGGAGAATGGGCCTCATTCCTGAGGCAAACTCCCAGAGGGGGTCAGGGTCCAGGCACAGCGATCAAGTCAAAGCATGTCCTGTCCTTGGTCTGTTCTCAAAATGTATTTCTTTTCTGAGTAATGGACCCATCTGGGCTCTGAGGCATCTTATGTTTTACAGCCCTGCTTTATCCTCCCAGGGTTTTATCTGTAGTTAGTAAGGTGAATAATCATTAAACAACTGTAGTTCTATTCTTGTTACATATCCTTTCCTCTATCAAATGCATTAATAAGTGAAACAACAAATTGGTGTTTCTCCCCCCCCCCACCCCCCGCAACTTCCTCTCTTTCTAAAAATTAATCAATCAGATATGGTTGTCCCAAGGTAGTTTTATTTACTTATAACAAGTAAAGGACACAAGAGAGTCACATCAAAGCTCTGTCTCCCCAAGGTAGCCTTCCATCTATATACACTGTTTGGTTAATTATACATTGATTTCTTCTTTGCTGTTGGCTACATTTACCCATTGAGTTCCTGTCAAGCTCATTCTGTTTACAGCTGCATCTGCAAAATACTGGGCTATATTTTAACATTTAACAAGAATAGCATTTAGTAAAACCCACCTTGAGACCGTTGTCTAACAACTGATAACTTCCATAAGAATTTGCTGTTTGCTGGAAACTTAGTTTGTTGTCAGCCCCCAACCCCACCCCTTAAAAACACAAGGAGCTGGAATTTTGAAAGTCCCTGCGAGCATTTCTCTATTTCTTTGTTCTGCCCCATTCTGCTACAGATTCTTGGAAGGAAGCTTTGCACATTCTCTCAATCACAAAATATTCTCATCCAGGAAAAGAGAAGAATCCAATTAGTTTGAATTAACGCTTAAATTGGCAAACTAAATTCCTGCAGCTACATATCTAATTGCAGCTAACCACACGTAAGTTTTGGAGGAGGAAAGACTTTTTCTAGGTTAGGACTGCAAGGTCAGATAGAACTTCTGAATGGATCTTCTTTCTTATATAGAATATTGCTTTATTAGTAAAATTCCATTTGAAGCCTTTTCTTCCCATGTGCTTGGCACATGGAGTGGCTTTACTACTTGCTTAATTGTGTAATTTTGTACAGATGTCTTCACCTTTCCGGGATAAAGTTCCCTTATCTTTAAATATTAAAATAGATATAATCACTTTCATTTTTGAGGATTGAATTAGGGAAAAATCTGCCTTTTCTTTTCGAATTTTTGTTCCTCATTATAAAAATACTTGTTTATTATAGAAAATGCAGAGAACATTGAAAGTTGCAGAGAAAAAAGGAAAAATCATGTATAAGCAATATTTATGGAGAACCACTGTTAAACTTTGCAAAATTCTTTTTGTGAAAGTACCAAGGGAGTGAAGGAGGAGGAGAAGAGAGAGAGAAAAAAATATTGCTATTCTTATTTCTTTTTCACTTAACATGAGTGTTTTCTTCTGTTATCGAAAGTTCTTTATAAACATTTCAATGGGCTACACAATATTAACATCATACAAATGAGTTTTTAAAAAACATTCCCTGCTACTTAACATTTTGTTTCCAAATTTTCCTGAAAATAAATAACTGAGACATCCATAAATTTTTGTCAACATTTTTCCTGCTTAGAAATAGGGACCTAGATGTGGGATTACAGCAAAACTTAGAGCATTTTAATGCTTTTGAGAGTCTGATTTACACTTGCAGGAGCTATACATGAGAATGTTAAATCACCCTCACTTTCACTAAATATTTGGGTTTAAAAGCTATATTAGTTCATCATAATTTTATTTATTTATTTATTTATTTATTTATTTATTTATTTATTTATTTATTTATTTTTTATCCTCACCTGAGGACTTTTTTTTTGCATTCATCTTCAGTTAGAGTGAGAGGGAGAGAGGGAGGAAGAGAGAGAGAGAAACAGCGATATGAGAGAGACTCATTGACTGGCTGTCACCCACACGACCCCAACCAGGGCAGGGGACAAACTACAACTGAGGTACGTCCCCTTAGCAGGAACCGAACCTGGAACTCTTTGGTCTGTGGGCCAACGCTCTAACCGCTGAGCAAAACCAGCCAGGGCTCATCATTATTTTAAATGATTGCGGTGTATTAAAGCAATCTGAAAACAACTAGGAACTTTGTTATTTTGCAAGAGCAGTGTTTCTTAAATATTTTATAGTAACTTAGATAAAAGGTTATATATCTATATATCTATATCTATATCTATCTAATCTAAGGGTGTAAAGTAGAATTGAAAGCCCCTTTCTCACAATACCAACCCTCTGAAGTTACCTGTATATTTATATTAAATTAATATAATAATATTATATATGTAATATATATATAATATTTTATATATATATATCCTTCCAGATATGCATCTTTGCTTTTTTGCCCTCACATACCTACTTTACACATTCAAAAAATTATTTCTATTAGATAGATCCCTAGAAGTTGGATTGGTCTGTCAGTGAATATGTATTTTTAAACATTTCCAACACATTTTTTCTAAAGACTTAATTTCTTAGAGCAGTTTTAGATTCAAAGCAAAACTGAGAGGAAGGTACAAAGATTTCCCATATACGCCCCCTACCCCATACATGCATAGCCTCCTCCATTATCAACATCTCCTACCAGAGTGGTACATTTGTTACAACTGATGAATCTACACTGACACATTGGATATGCAATTTTAAAAGTATGATATATGTTGTTAAATCTCCTTTTCCCACCCTAACCCCCAAGAAACCAATTTGCACAGATATAAGTGCAACAACAGTAAAGTGGACACAAAAAGTAATATGTGTTCTCTGCAGAAAATCTAAAATTGAAAAAAGGACTGGGAAGAAATTTTAAGTAGTCTATGAGCCCCGATACCTAGAGATAACACTATTGGCCATGTGGTGAATTTAATTTCAACATGCAATTTCTACTATTTTGAATTGGATGTAGGATAAAAATAGAGAAAAAATTTTTTTTTCCATATGGGTAAAGCACAAAGTACAATGGTTATGCCAATAAATTAATTTACTCATGGTCATCTTTCCCAGGAATTTAGTTGAAAAATCTTTACGGATTTGGAGATGGGAGTGGGGTTGGGGCGAGGCGGGGCGGGGGTGTGGGGACTGTGAAAAAGGTGAAGGGATTTAGAAGTACAAATTGGTAGTTGGATAATAGGGGATGTAAAGTACAGCATAGAGAATACAGTCAATATTGTAATAACTACATATGATGTCAGTTGGGTACTAGATTTATCAAGAGATCACTTCATAAGTCAAATGTCTAATAATGGGGTTGTATACCCAAAACTAATATAATATTGCATGTCGACTGTAATTTAAAAAATTAAAAAATATATATAACTAAAAAAAATCTTTACCCTACCAGTTCTTTGAAAGAGCAATTTAGCATTCTCACCTCCATGGCAACCCAAGTTCCTAAGTGATTGATAGCGATGACACCCAATAAATTCTTTTCATTTGCAATTCCCAACCAATCGAATGGAAGCAGGGGCCTAGGGGCGTCTCCACCCGTGCAAATGTGGGCAGCGTCTCCCTGCGTCATCAGTCTGCGCCAAGGGCAGTTTGGCCCGCTTCGCTCAGGGGAGTAGTGGCTCTGTGGTCGCGCCAGGCGTTGCGCTGGGGTGATGGCGTCTGGCTCCCTGTGGCGGCTGCGCTCGGGCGCCGCAGGGTCCCTCTCAGGTAAGGTGGGAGCGCGGCCGCAGCCCTGCGCTGGGCGGGCAAGCCAGGGGATTTTCGCGGGGGTTTGAACCGGAGAAGTCACGGGGGAGACGTTCTCATACATCACAGGACTGCGACGGAGCGCGACTGCGAGACTGAATCACGGGTGCTGGCGGCGAGGGGTCCCGTGGTGCGCCGCGGGGGACTGCCGGGCGAGAAGGGGACGGCTTTCCGCAAGGATTCTCGGGCGGCCGCCAAGGGTTGACGCGTCGGGGAATTGCACACCTGTGCCGTCACGTCCCTGCAGATGTGGTCGGAGTTTCCGCTGAGGGCAGTTGGCGACTTTGAAAGTTCAGAGGCCTTGGGGTGTCATCATTGCCTTCGCCCAGGGCCTTGCCAGGCAGAGTGTGGTCACGCGACCAGAGTCACTCCTTGCCCCCGAGCGTGTGAGAAATGCAGATTCTCAGGTCCCTCCACCGGCCTATTGGGTCGCTATACCTGCCTGTAGCACTTTAACAGCCCTTGGAATAAACTGTACATGGGAAAGTTTGCGAAGCATCAGGGTAGTGGAAGGAGCATCGGATTTGGAGTAAGGAGACAGACACGGGTGTGGGTTCTGGCTTCTTGTCTCGGTTCATCTGAGCTGCCTCATAAAATCGTTGTGAGGTCGTTTTCTCAAAGTCGTTCGTGTACTACCTTCAGGATTTTGATTATTAAATACATTATATAACCATGTTCCGTTTTTAAATTAAATCATTTCAGAGACACTGAATCCTTATGGAAAACCAGTATTGCCTGCCCCAAATCAAGTAATCAATACTCTGAAAATAAAAAGCTATTAAAGTGTATTAGATACTGTTGCCCAAGACCATCCTTTTTTCTCAGGTAAAAAGGGGAGATTAGCAGGTGTTAGGAGGGTGTTGAAGATCTGTCAGCTGTAAACAGACCAGTCTCCTTGACCAAGTCAAAAGGATTGGAAGAGAATTTAAAAGAGAATATAACTCTTACTACATGGGTGTTATTTAATGTATGTTAGTAAGTCACATAAGCTCTTCCCATCTACCTCTTAAAAATCTTCTGGGTAATATTATTCGTATATGTTTCACACTTTGGAAAACACAACTATAAAACAATGCATTGGAGAGCTTCTAGCACTGGCCTCAAGTTTATTTTCTTTTAACATGTGACAATACAGGCAAAACTTAGAGGATTGTTGGACATGAATTGTAATGCTTTGTTGAGCCAGTGGGCATAACACAATAAGAATCTTTATTTATTTATAAAGTTAATTTGCTTTCTATATCTAATTTTATCTTAGTGATAACTCAGTAGGAAAGGTTTTATTATTGTATGTTTTCCCATAAAATGGAAATAACCTGATTATTACCAGTTATGTATGTAAGAAATGGCAATCCTGATTTGTCCAAAGTTAGCATTTGAGATGATATTTTTGTGATCCTAGCTCTGTGCCTTTTCTGTAGTCCCTTAAAGCTTATTAAAGCCCGGCCGGTGTGGCTCAGTGGTTGAGCATCGACCCATGCACTGAGAGGTCGAGGGTTCAATTCCCGGTCAGGACACATGCCCAGGTTGTGGGCCAGATTCCCCAGTGGGGGGCATGCAGGAGGTGGCCAGTCGATAATCTCTCTCATTGATGTTTCTGTCTCTCTCCTTCTCCCTTTCTTTCTCTCTAAAATCAATAAAGGAAAAAAATATATATATATTTTTAAAAAGCTTATTAAAGACACCTTGCAGAGATTGTGAAAAGATAGAAATAGCAAATATTGTGATACTCAATCCTCCACATTACTTCCCCACCCCAAATCATTTATTAGGTGTCTGAATCTGGAAAGGTGGTACAGTGCTAGGGAACAGTCTAGTAGGTTTTTAATGTAAATATAATCCTACCCATTGAAAGACAGCTATGTGTTTGACTTCATCCTATGTACCCAGCTGCTTGCTATTTTTTAGGATTTTTTTTTTTTAAAAGGAGTATTGGGTTGTTTTTCTAGTTCTTTCCCATTGACATGTTTTGAGGTGGGAGTAACAAATGAAGGGACAAGCAAACAAGATTATTTCGAGAAATAGAGCCAGCTCATCATTTTCAGTTTCAATTCCTGGGGCAATGTTTTGCCCCATCTTTCTGCAAGGAGGTCAGATTGATGAAAGCACCAGTCCTTGGACTCGGAGGCAAAAACTTGCAAGAAGCTACCTTGACTTTGTCAAATGTCTCAAATTGTTCTCCACATAAAAACATAGCTATCTGCCTGGCTGGTGTGGCTCAGTGGTTGAGTGTCAAACCATGCACCAAGAGGTCGCCCTTTTGATTCCCCGTCAGGACACATGCCCAGGTTATGGGCCAAATCCCCAGTGTGGTGGTGTGTGTGCGGGGCATGAAGGAGGTATCCAGTCAATGTTTGTCTACCCCCTCCCTTCCTCTCTAAAATCAATAAAGAAAAAAAAATTAAAAACATGGCCACAAATGACGGTGACCCATTTTCTGAAGGCATAGAACTGAGTAGTAGTACATTATACCTGGCAGAACTTGGAGCCTAGGAACTGGAGTCAAATGTGCTCAGTGAGATGGAGCAGATTGTGCAGAGGAGTAGACCAAAGCTGGTTCACTATTCTTCAGAACTCCATGTTCAAACTCTTGTGTTTAGTAGTGAGACATTTTAAACTCCACCTGTTCCAAAAGTTCAAATGCAGAATGACCGACCCCAAATCCCACCAGGCCTACTCTGTCACCTTGTGTCCAAAGTACTCAAGCTTTTAAATGAGCAAACTACAGATGTACCCAAAGTGAAAATTTTCTGGGTGTTGAAGTTAGCCTATATGAAAAGTATCTTAAAGACATGGTTGTCACAAAGGTGGGGACAGGGTGGGGAGGGGGGGAATCATTGGGGGGGAAAAGAGAAACATCTGTAACAAAAATAAATAAATTAATAAAAAAAATAATAAAGACATGGTTGCATACATCAGCCTTGGAACACATCTCAAGGTGATACCAATACAGGTTAAAGTTCACATTACAAACTAGTCTCTGGGTCTCCATTTCTATGGCTGCAAAATGGGGTGAAACAGCTTACACACCTAAACACATTACAAAGCCCTTCTTTTAGGGGAAAACACTTTTGGGATGCCTTCATACAAAGCTCAAATACAGTATAGGTGTTACTTTTAGATTTTTAAAGAAAAAAATCTAATCTTTCCTGAAGAATGTACATTTTGAAGGCCAGAACAACTCAGTTGAATTGGTTGCGTACCATAATGAGATGAAACCTAAGTTCTGAAGTTTGTTTCTCAAAATCAGATGCTCTTGGATGTGGGTATTTTAAGAGAACTTAAATCTATAGTTCTCAGCCTTGGCTATAGAGAAGATTTGTGCACAGAGCTTTAAAATATATCAGTGCCCCACTCCCAGAAATCGATTGGAGAGGAGCATTCATGGTTTTGAAAGCTCCCTAGAAGGTTCTGTGCAGCCAGAGCTGGGAATGAAGTGGGCCAGGAGGGATGGGTGAACTAGAGAATCATCCTGTCTAGAGCCAGCTGCCACATTAACTACCTGGGGAGAAGACAGGCTCAGAATGACCAGATCTTTGTACACTTAAAGTGAAACCAGAAATTTAGATATTTAGCCAAAATCTTCTGTTTTAGGTGTAGGTAACTAATTTTTTTTAAATCCTCACCCGAGGACATTTTTCCATTTTTTTGTTCAGATAGAGTGGGAGGGAGAGAGAGGAAGAGAGAGAGAAACATCAATGTGAAAGGAACACATCGAGTGGCTGCCACCCACACAACCAACCAGGGCCGGGGACAAACTGCAACCGAGATATGTGCCCTTAGCGGGAACCGAACCCGGGTCTCTCTGGACTGCAGGCTGACGCTCTATCCACTGAGCAAAACCAGCCAGGACTGTAGGTAACTAATTTACTTTAAAAAAAAATGCTGCAGGATAAACTACATTAAAAGACATGTCAACCTGCAGGGAACTCATTCATTGCTTTTGTTCTAAGGTGCCCCTTTCTTCTATATGTAAAATAAAACATCTCAATTTTACTTGAAAGTAATGAAGAATAAACATTTGCATTGCAGCTTATGGAAGAAGAATCAGTGTCAGATTTTGCAGCTCAGGCATGACTTTAGACAATATCAATCAGGCAGCTGTGGATCGAATTATCCGGGTAGATCATGCAGGTGAATATGGAGCAAACCGCATCTATGCAGGGCAGATGGCCATCCTGGGTCGCACAAGTGTCGGGCCAGTCATTCAGGTGAGCACTGCTTTCTCTCTCTTTAGCCTGGACTACTGAACAGGGCTTAATGGGGGTGGGGACCCCAAGGCCTTCAAGTAAGGAAGCACATTAGGTCATGCATTCTCAGGGGACATACTGTTTGCCTCCAAATGAGTGAAAATTGGATATTGGGGAGGGAGGAGTGAAAAGCATATTATTATTTTTATGTATAGAGCACAGATGGACATGTAGCACATAAACAGATAGATGGTGTATCTGTAGTAATAAATTTTCACAGTGGGGGCGGGTAGTAATGAAAAAGGGGCTGAGAAATACCATATTAGGTACAGTTGCCGAGAGGTTGCACTCCTGCCCCCAGTGGAGCTCAGTGGAGATGTTTTTACTGAGAAGCAGAGGGAGATACCTGGGCTTTGTAGTCACACAGACGCAGCTTCACATTCCAGTTCTCTCCCACCTACTGCCTGTGTGACCTTGTGGAAGTCACATGACCTCTGGGTCTTCATTTCCATACCTGCAAAATGGGCTCATAACACCTACCTCACTGGGTTTTGGTGAGGAAGAAATGACTGGTATAGAGCAGCTGATACCATGCCTAGCATGTAACAGGCACAACACAAGTTAAATTGCCTTTTCTGAGTGCTCAGGCAAGTTACTTAACCTCTCTGTGCTTCACTTTCTTTATCTGTATAATGGGGATAATAATAGTTTGTCCTTCACAAAGCAGTTGTGCAGCTTAAATGAGTTGCCTACATAAAACTACTTGATAGTGCCTGACATTAGGAAGTCATGTATTAGCTGTCATTTATCATCCTCCCTTTCTCCTTTGATGTACATGATACTTTATGCTAGCAACCTGGCAGGAAATTACACGATAGTTAGTACTCTGCCCTCCTAATTTTGAAATGAGCTAAACATCTCATTTCTCATGGGTATGATTCCTCATCCTTTAATAGGCACTTTGTGGGTCTGAGGGGCTTCTGCAGAACCATAGTTCATGGATAGGGCATGTAGCTTCCCTGGGATACGCGGGTGGCCTGTGTGGAATGCCTACATGCCTTTATTGTTCTGGTTCTTACAGAAAATGTGGGATCAAGAAAAGGCCCACTTGAAAAAGTTCAGCGAATTGATGGTTGCATTTAGGGTCCGGCCAACAGTTCTGATGCCCATTTGGAACGTGATGGGGTTTGCACTAGGTGCGTATCTGTCCAGAATTGCTTATGGGAGCTGAAGGGTCTGGGATGATCATATCCTTTAAATACCACTTCACAATTTTTGCTGTGTCCTTCTACAGCCTTTTTTTACTTAATATTTTTCTAAAGTTAAAATGGCTAAAACATTTTTTTGGCTTAAATTTATTTAAGATAGATCTTAAAATCCATAGTTTTATAAATAAAATGTATGGTAAAAGTAGATACAACAGAAGGGAGGAAGTGCTAGACGAACTCAGTTGTAGCCAGGTAATGTTACTTGACAAAGGTTCTGAACCAGAGATCTGCTCACTCTTAAAAAGGGAGAAAAGTAAATGGTATAGAAAATCAAAGACATATTCACCCCAAATGATGACTTCCTCCTTGCCATAATCAGGTTAGGGAGATCATTGAAAAGAGAATATCCTTTTCACTACGTTAGTTAAAGTTTGACACTATGACCTGGTACAATCTAAAACAGTGGTTTTCAGCGGGGTCAAGTTGCTCATGAGGACACTTGACAATATGTAAAGACATTTTTGGTGTCACTTCTGGGGATGCTACCCGCATCTAGTGGGTTGAGGCAAGGGATGCTGCTAAACATCCTGCGATGCACAGTACAGCCCCCACAACAAGGGATTATCCAGCCCCAAAATTTGTAGTGCCGAGGTTAACAAGCACTGACCTGACATGCTCCCACTTACCAGTGGTATCAGTCCCATCCTTTACTGCTCTGGATTTGACAATTCCAGGAGTGGGAACCGCCCTGCTTGGGAGAGAGGGAGCGATGGTCTGCACTGTGGCTGTGGAAGAGTCCATAGCACATCACTACAACAACCAGATCAGGACATTGATGGAGGAGGATCCTGAAAAGTATGAGGAGCTTCTTCAGGTATTTGACTACACTCTGAGAAGGGTGATAAAGGGGGAAAGGGGCAGACGTGCAATTTGGTAAGAAGAAAAAAGTAGAATGTTAGGGAATGATGGGATCTTAGAAATCTAGGTTGGCACCTCATTATAAGGGCAAGCAAGTTAACTAAAGCACAGAGAGCTGAAGCTGTGTGCCCTGGTCTCATGCTTGGGCAGAGGTCAGGAATCCATGTCTTCTGAGCCCGGGCCTGTGTTCTCTCCATTTCCTGATTATTGGTAGGCCGTGAGCAAATGCTGTTAGCATGAACCCTTCAGATTAAATAAATGAACTAAAAGATACCCCCAGATTAAATAAATAAATATCCATTAAACATCTTTAAAATAAAAATAAAAAGATACCCTCAGATAATTTTCCACAACAGATGAGGAACAGATGCAGGTCTGGCTTTTTTAAAGCCTAAATCAAGTTGGTAAACTATGGCCACTTGTTTCTGTAAACAAAGTTTTGTTGGAACATAGCTCTCCCCATTAGTTCACATGTCCGTGGCTGCTTTCCCCTCTACACTGGCAGAGTTGAGTAGATGTGACATGGACCATACAAAGCTTAAAGTATTGACTCTGTCTCTTTATAGGAAAAGTTTACCTACCTGTCTTAGATAATAATATGAGTTTTAGCTGCCAAAATAAGACAGAACATCAGGAGAGCTTTGATTTATTTTTATTTAACCAGGTGATAAAGACATTTAGAGATGACGAGCTTGAGCACCATGACACAGGCCTTGAACACGGCGCAGAACAGGTGAGGACCCCTCTTTACTGTTGCTTGTGGTGCTTTGAGCATCTTATTTGGAAGGTTGAGGGCTGGAAAGGTTTCTGTTCCCAGAAAGAGCGATTTCAAAGTGACTGCCAAAGGAAAAAAAAAACCAGCACCCTGTTTTGACAAAGAGCATTCTCCCAGTTGGGAATCTTATTTCTTGCTTCCTTCTTATCCTTTTCCCTAGCAGCCCCTTTTCCCTTCCTGCTGAGAAACCAGATGACTCCATGTTTTGGCAGCAGCAGAGGCATATTCTAATCTTTTGAATAGGTGTTTTTTACCCCAAATTAAAATGAATTGTCTCTTAGACTTTATTTCTTATCCAGAGAAGTCTCAACCCTGCCAAGCATGTATCTCACAACTAAAAGTGAACGTAGAATGTGTTCCTTTAGTTTGCTTATTGTCATCTTCAACAGGCTATAGGATATGGCGTTTTGAAGAGGGTCATCCAGGCTGGATGCAGCATGGCGATATACTTATCAGAAAGATATTAAGGTATGTGCACTTTTCCCTGTCTATAAAAGATGGTAGTAATTTAACAAGTGATATTGGCAGGAAAGGAAATGTACAGTTACCATTACTGAGCAAGGGCTTACTGCCCCATGCACATAGAAGCCAATGCTGTAGCATCGTCTTTTGAGGAAAGAAAAGGCTTTAATTCCAAGGTGCACCAGCAATGAAACAGAAGGCAAGGCTCAAATCTGTCTCCCCCACTGAGGGTTTTGGGCTACATTTAAAGGAAGAAGCAGGGAAGTTATGCATGTCTGTAGAGTTATATTGATTCAACAAAACGAGAGTCTCGTACGCAGGTGCTTGGGAATCACAGCTTTTCATTCATCAAATGTTTGAATTCGGGGGTGAGGGTTTATAGGTATGGATTTTGACCTGATGACTTTGAAAGGTTATTCTAGGGTAAATTTTTTTCTCTAGTGTGTTGTCCTACTGTTGGAGTGCATGATCTGCACCTTATTCTGCCATCTCTGAAAAACAACGTAGCATCTCATTAGGAACAGAACAAGGCCAGTTTAGCTAGTTTCACGGTTACATTATTGTTATGTGAATTTTGTTAAAGTGAAAGAGGGTTTTTTTTGTTTTTGTTTTTTCTAAATAAAATTCTTCAGTGTTGATTTTTTTTTCTGTGTATGCCATAAAGCTGACAGTTCACCAGGTGCATTCAGATTACAGCAAAGCTGGTCATTGTTTGGTCCGTAGCTAATTTTTCTTAAACCATCAAAAATGACTCATTTAGAAAGTAATAGGACTCTAAAGAAAAAAAATGTTGAGTTTACTGGTAAAAGGGTATTGAAAACACAAGGGTGTTTAAGTTTGACACAAAGCAAGTTCATCAGGTAAGTGGAAAACTCATCGTTTCTATTGGGAATTGTGGATTGAGGGTGGGTTGCTTCCATTAGTGACTATACTAAATTGTGGATTACTTGTGAATTTGCATTATAATAATTTTCTTTAGGTCTGTTACCAAAAAAGGTGGAGGGGCTATACTGTTCATACTGTGTTGAAATCTTTTATGATCTGCAAATTCTAAAATAATTTATGAAAAACCTAAGTCAGCCCTGGCCAGTTTGGCTCAGCGATTGAAGCATAAGCCTGCGGTCCCAAGAGACCTGGGTTTGGTTCCCTCTAAGGGCACGTACCTCGGTTGCAGTTTGTCTCCCACCCTGGTGGGTTGTGCGGGTGGCAGCCACTCGATGTGTCCCTTTCACATCGATATTTCTCTCTCTCTCTCTCTCTCTCCCTCCCACTCTACCTGAACAAAAAAAATGGAAAAATGTCCTCAGGTGAGGATTAAAAAAAAAAAAGGCCCACCCTTACCACCTTTATCAGAATCGCAAACTTACCCCACTACATTCCCTGCCCCCTTGCTCTGCGCTCTTTTCTCACCATAGCACTTGCCACCGTCTAGCATTTTTATAATGTACTTGCTTGTTATGTTTCTTGTCTGTTTCTTGTTGCAAGAATGTAACCTCCATGGGGCAGGAATCCTTGTTTTAATGGCTGACACATAATAGGTGCTCAGTAGTTACTGATGGACATGAATGAAGAAATTGCACTCTCTTTTTAGAAGTTATTTTTACATAATGTTATTCAAGACTACTCCTGTGTGCTGCTCAGCAAAATTCAGTGGAGATTTATTGAAACGATGCTACCCATCTGAACTGAGTCTCTGGGCCCCTGGTCTGTACAGATTGTTTTGCTATAAAACTCGAAATCTTCCAGCTGAGTGGGGGGGTGGGGGTAGGAAGGAAGGAAAAGATGCTACTAGAAAACCAGAAGAAGGCCATTCTCTATGCTTTTTGCTGATGCTTAGAAACAAAACAAAAAAAATATATAGGCTGGATATCCACATGCAAAAGAATGAGTTCAGAACTCTGCTTCACAGCATATACAAATATTAACTCAAAATGAACCAAAAATCTAAATCTTAATGCTAAAACTCTGAAGTTCTTAGAAAAAAACAGAGTAAATCTATGTTACCTAGGATTACACAACAGTTTCGTATCTATGACACCAAAAGCATATGCAACAAAATAAAAAAACAGATAAATTGAACTTCATCTAAATAAACACTTGTACTTTGAAGAACGCTATCAAGAAAGTGAAAAGACAACCCACAGAATGGGAGAAAATATTTGCAAATCATTTATAAGGGGTTTGTATCTAGAGTGTGTAAAGAATTCTTACAATTCAACAAATAGCCCAGTTAATAACAGGCAAAGGATTTAAATAGACATGTCTCTAGAGAAGATGCACACAAATGGCCAATAAATATTTGAAAAGATGATTAATACTATTAGTCATTAGAGAAAACCACAGTGAGATACCACTTCACACCACTAGAATAAAAAAGACAATAAATCAAAATGAAAATAAGTGTTGATGAGAATGTGAGAAATTAGAATCCTCATACACTGCTGGTGGGAATGTAAAATGTTGCAGCCCCTTTGGAAAACAGCCTGGCCATTCCTCAGACAGTTAAACAGAATTAACCATATGATACAGTAACTCCTCTCCTAGGTATAAACCCAAAAGGAATGAAAACATGTTCAAACAAATACTTGTATATGAATATTCATAGCAACATTACTCATAAGAGCCAAAAAGTGGAAACAACTTAAACGTCTGGTCAGCTAATGAATAGATAACCAAAAGTGCTGTATCTATATAATGGAATATGTTTCAGCAATGAAAAGGAGCGAAGAACTGATATATGCTGTAACATTGGTAAACCTAAAAACATGATGATAGATAGATAACCAAAAGTGCTGTATCTATATAATGGAATATGTTTCAGCAATGAAAAGGAGCGAAGAACTGATATATGCTGTAACATTGGTAAACCTAAAAACATGATGCTTGGCTAAAGGTTTTAGTATGGAAAGATGAAAATAGTTCTGGATATGGATGGTGGTGGTGGTTACACAGTAATGTTCTTAATGCCACTGAACATTGTTAAAATTGTAAATTTTATATTATACCACAAATAATAATTTTAAAATTATGCTAAGTGAAGGAAGCCAGACACAAAAGGCCACATACGGTATTATTACATTTATATGAAATGTCCAGAATAGTAGGCAAATCCATGGAGACAGAAAATAGATGTGGTTGGCTAAGGGATTGAAGAGTAACTGCTAATGGATATAGGGTTTCTTTTGGAGGTGATGAAGGTTCTAGAATTAGATGATGGTGATAGTTGCACAACCTTGTGAATACACTAAAAAAACACTGAATCAAACAATTCAAAGTGGTGAAATTTATGGTGTGTAAATCATAGCAACAAAACAATACAGGATATATAGTTTTATGTGATACCTGAACACAAATTTCCATCCAGGCTATTGAGTGGGGAAACACTCTCTTTAATATATTATCCTTCAAGCCAACAGAGCATATACTAGCCTTGATCTTTTGAGATGCTGGTGATACTTGTTGCCCTCTTGTATCAAAGCTAATTTTGTAAGTATTGCAGTCAGGAATCTTGGGCATATGAAGGCACTTTGCACAATCCTTATTAAAAGCCCAGATTTGTTACTGTTTGTTTAGCATCCCCTTCAGAATTGATGGCTGATGTTGTATGCTTCTGAGAGCTTCTAAAACAAGACCAGAGAGATTTTATGGATCCCCCTTTGATTGTTTTTATTTCATTACAGCTTGTCCTATTGTATTAACAAGGTAATCTTGTCTTTCCCTTACTCTACTGCTCTGACCTTGTAGGGGAAATGTGATTTTAAAATTGGACACCATCCAAAGATGATGCCAGCAGGACAAAGGATATTATTTTTACAAGCAGTCTTGTTCCAAAGATGTGATCTGAGCTATTGTTGTTTGCATGTGTGATTCCCTCTCTACTCAGTGTGGTCTGTGGCTCAACAGTAGTGGTATCAACTGTGAGCATGTTGGAAATGCAGAACTTTGGGCTCCTCCCCAAATCTACTAAGTCAGAATATGCATTTTAACAAGATGTGGTGGTTTTAAAGTATGTCCACAAATTACTTACTACTCCTCTGGTCAGTGGAATGTAATTCTCCTTGCCTTAAGTGTGTGTTGTCCTTAGTGACTTGTTTCTAACAAACAGAATATAGTGGAAATGATGGACTGTGACTGCAAGGCTGGTAGATCATAAAAGACAGCTTCCACCTTTCTTTTCAGGATCACTCACTCTGGGGGAAGCCAGTCGCCATGTGATGAGCACACTCAGGCAGTTACTCTGTGGAGAGGGTCACGTGGCCAAGAATAGAGGCCCCCTGCCTACAGCCATGTTTGTGCAACATCTTGGAAGTGAATCCATCAGCCCCAGTCAAGCCTTCAGATGACTGCAGCCAACGTCTGACTGCAGCCTCATGAGAGACGCGGAGCTGGAATCACCCAGCTGAGCCAGTCCTGAATTCCTGACTCAGCAGCTATGTTGGATAATAAATGTTTGTTTTCAGCTGCAGAGTTCTGGGCTGATTTGCTGTATAGCAATAGATAACCAATATGCACACTCGCAGGTGATTTGGAAGCACAGTGAAGTTTGACAAGCACTGAACTAGACCATGAACTGGAAGGCAGAGACTATCTTAGTCCTTCTCATATCTTCAGAGCTTAGCATAGTGTCTGACGCTCGGTAAATGTTTCTTAAACTAAATACAAAGTTAACGTGCCCTGTTTTTAAAAAATTAAAGCTTTTTTTGTAATAAATAATGCATGTATATGTATGCATATGGTAAAATACTCCAACAATGCCAACATGTATTTACAGTGACAGATACATCTTGCTGTAGGCTGCTTGTTGATTAACAAGAAACTGACCTTACTTTGTGCTTAACTATTAGCAATCTGCCACATAAGACAGTACATTTTTTTCTTTTTTTTCCCCTTCCAAAAGTAATACTTGCCTCAAAATCAAACATTATAAACTGCATATATATATAAAAGAAAAGAAAGCACCCCTTCCAAACTTATTCCCTACAAGTAACCACTATTTAGTGTCATTGTGGACCTTTCCAGACTCACAAAAACAACTTTATATGCACACATGTACATCGTTCCCCAGATGGAATGATACTGTGCATCTTGATCTGCAGTTTGACTTTTTCATTCAGTGACCTACTTGGCCATCTTTCCAAGTCATTACGTAGAGATCTACCTCATTCTTTTAATTGCTTGCAATACTTTTCTTTCATTTTACAACTGAGCCACTGTAACATCATGCCAGCTCCTTACCTGCACAGACTGTGTTCTGTTTTAACTGCTTTATCCCCCGAAATCCCAGGACCACCCTGTGGAACGTGCACGGTCCTCATCCTCCCATTGACCGGCTGCTAGGTGCTGGAGAGACTTGGACTTAACCACTAGGCAGTCCGCCTTCTCCTTATTTCCTCTTCTCTTTTCCTCGATTACTGGGCATTTAGGTTATTAATAACAGACTTTGGGGACCTCTAATGCTTCGAGGGGACCCCATTTGAAAATAGTTTTCTATGGAATTTAAGGAGAAGGGACCCCTTGGGGTTTTTAATCTTTTCTGAGATCCCCATACTTCCTTGAGAATATGGTAAAAACTCTGGACCCTCACCCCATCAACTCCCAGTGGTCCTCATTAAGACCCCTGGATGTGGGTGATTTGCGGAGAAGAAAACATGACCTTTCCCAACCGAGGGGAACAAAAGAAACCTTTCCTCAAAACTGCCTTTTTTAGGCCCTGCTTGAGCACAAAGCACTTTTCTATTGAATATGTTTTCAAAGGTTTAAAAGGCCCCTCTTGCCTTCGGGACATGCCTCCTCCCACTCTTACCTCCCGAAATGGCAGCCCTGCTGGGCTGTGACTGAACACGACAGGTCCTTTGATCCTGGTTCACAAAGAAAGATCTGGGCACGCCAAGTGCTCCAAGGGTCTAGGCCCTGTAGGGCTTCCCAGTGGCCACCAGAAGGCGCCCTTGTCCCGGAGTCCACGGCTCTTACCAGCTATGTTAGTCATTTCCAGAATGTCATAGGGACCATGCCTGGAGAGCGTGGACAGGCAATTGCTACGTGTTGTGATAACCTGGCCCCAATAATCCCACGTCCAGATATTTGCCATTAGGTGAGAGTGGACCGTCACATTGGCACACTGCAAGCTGTGGAGGACTCGCTCAGCTGGGTTCTACTCTGCTGGGCTACTGACTTGAGCGTCCTTATCAGGGAGGAGGCATGTTCTATTTCAGGAAAGGGGGAGAAGGAAACACGGAAGGCCGCTGATTCGTCTCTGTCCTGCATGAAGCACCAAGCAGTGTCCAAAGGGCGGCACTGGATGGGTATTCACTGGTCGGCACTGCTCTTTGCACTCACCTGCTCGCCCCATGTTCCTCGGACCCTGTACTCAGCTGCTCTCCTGATGAAGGCTGTTTGCCCTTTCAAACCCCTTATCTCCCCGGTGACATTATCCCACACCCTCGCCTATCCCTGCAGGTCCCAGCTTCCTCATTGGTATTGCGCGGTTGCTACCTGCGTCCCTACCATTTCTCCAACCTGGCAGCGAGCTTACAGTCAAGGGCTGTCTGTCCCCAGTCCCTGGAGCTTCACAGACCCTCAGCCAACATTTGATAAACGAATCTAAGCTGAAAACAAACCATGTGGGCTCATAAAATGGAACAAAATGAATCGAAACAAGTAATGACAGTCACCTGATATCAATCTGAGTACACCTAGAAACTTTTAGATCAAAGTATGAAGTGGGGAAAGAGTCAGACTTGTGGGTGTCCTTCAGATCTCTTGTCCATCTGCACTAACTCAGCATAAGCCCGACAAACATTTCACCCGAAACCGTGTCTCAGCTCGTCTCCTTCAAAATGCTTTTTATTTATAGCTGCCATGTTGTGTCTCTTGAGAGTTCCTCTTCATGATACCTTTTGTTCCTTTTTAAAAAATCTTAATTTTATTTCCAGTTATACAGAATTTCCTACTGATTAATTTTGGAATTCTTAAATAGGTGTGCACATCAGACTAAACTCTTGTGATTTAAAAAAAATGTACTGATGCCCCTGCTCCCCCCTGTCCTACTGAAGCAAGTGCTGTAAGACTGGCCCAAGGGACGGATATAGTTTAAAAACACACAAGGGACTTGATGTGCATCCTGGTTAAGAATCAGTGGTTTAGTTCTACAAGGATTTATTTTAAATCTGCCCCCAAATTGACGCTTCTCCCTGAGGGCTGATTCAGGATTTACATTCTGCCCCACTTTTCCTGTTCTGTTTTCTGCTAAGATGTGACTTGTTCCGATTTTCTCCAGACCATTTGGTGCCATGACAGCTGGAAACATGCCCCAGATCAAGTTGTCTTCATCAGTGGAAACAATGGTGACAGCGGTGCTCCCTGTTCTACCGTTGGGGGTAGGGGGGCAGCCTTTGTGTGGCATTTTCCATGCCTAACTTCCCAGTGGCTTTATTGAAACAATAAAAACTTGTATGGAGATGCCACCTGTTGTACTCACTTGCTGATGCTCTGTGTATGTATTTAAATAAAACAATGTGGAGGGCCCTGGCCGATGTGGCTCATTTGGTTGAGCATTGTCCCTCACACTGAAAGACAATGTGGGATTAAAAGATTATCTATCTCAGTTACTTATTTGGCTGCTTTAAGGGACTGTATTCCAAGTGCTGTGCAATAAAAGAATTTAGAACATGAAATTCTCACTTCCTTATATCACTTAGAAGAGACCCAGAACATCTCATCTTTGCTTCTGGTAAGAAATATTACCACTGCTAAATGAAAAATCCAGAGGTAATTTTCTTCAGGTATGGTTTGATCCAGGAGCTCAAACCAAACACCCAGCTTCTCTTTTTCTCTACTATCTCTGCTTTTCATAGTGTTGAAATTGGGCTCACGGTGGCTCCCAGTGGTTCTCTCATGTACGACAGCAGAATTGCTGCAGCGCTTCCATCCAACCCCTCCATCCACAAAAAAAGGGTGAGGGTCTCTTCCTCCAGCTTCTGCAGGAGAGAGAGAGAGAGAAAACTTTGCTTTCCCAGAATACACAGCACATGCCCACCCCCCACCCCAGTCTCATTGTTCTCCAAGTCATAGTTCTCACCTCCAGACCAGTCATCGTGGTCTGGGGAATTGTGGTACTCTCATTGGCCAGCCCTGGTCACATGGTTGCTCCTGAAGCTGGTAGATTAGGGACAATTCCACTCAAGCCACATGGCCCCGAGTGGGGTAGGGAAAGCTCCCACAAAGGAAGCCAGAGTCCCCTCACCAGGAGAAGGGCGAACAGATGTTGCGCAGGTAAAAAGGCCTGATGTCCCCTGAGCCCAGGAGGTTGTGGTGGAGACAGAAGTTGAGTAGATACAGATGGGGCAGTGGGTTCAGGATGGACTGGATTAGGGAGGATGAGACCAGGGGGACCTTACTATAGCGCTCCCCTTGATGATGGATGAGGACCAGGGTGAGGGCTCTGTGGTGACAGAGAGGCAGGGTAGCATAATAGTTGAAAACACCTGGGATTTGGCTCAGCGGTTGGAGCATCCTCCCGCAGACCAGAGAGTCCCAGGTTCAGTTCCCGCTAGGGGTTATGTACCTCAGGTTGTGGTTTGTCTCTCCCTCGGTGGTGGTCGTGTGGGTGGCAACCACTCGATGTGTCTCTCTCACGTCAGTGTTTCTCTCTCTTCCCCCCTTTCTCCCTCTCGCTCTATCTGAAGATGAATGCAAAAATGTCCTCGGGTGAGGGTAAAGAGAAAAAAAAAGAAAAAGAAACCTGGGTGTGAATTCTTATGCTGCCATTTACCTGGTGTTACCTGACTTCCTCTCTCTGCCTTAATTTACCCACTTGTAAAATGGTTGCACCTGGGTTGTCACGGGTGACTCTGAAAACATTATGCAAAGTGGGAGAAGCAGTCACAAAGGACCACATATCATATGGTTCCATTTAAAGGAAATGTCCAGAACAGGCAGATCAATAGAGATGGAAAGTAGATTAATGATTGCCTAGGGTTCAGGGGTAAAGGGGGTGTTGGGGGGTGATAGCTAGGGAGTTCATGGTTTCTTTTCAGGATAATGTTCTGAAATTGGTGATGGTTGCACAGCACTGTGACTATACTAAAAGCCAATGAATTGTATACCTTCAACCAGTGAATTGTATGGTATGTGAATTATATCTCAATACAACTTATTTTAAAGGTAATGTGTGTCAAGTACTTTGAACAGTGCCTGGCACATCCCTTCTGTCTGCCCATCAGACGTGGGGGCCATAGCATCTTCCAACTGTCACAGGACCTTGGAGGCTTACCATCCCTCAAGCTTAAGTTCCCTTCATCCTGCCATCACCTTTCTGAACAGTCTCATTAAACTCCATTCAGTTGCCCCCATTTGAGTGCCTGTCATTCCTGCCAGGACCCTGACTGCATAAAGATCACCTCTCAAGAAGAAGAGGACTTGTTGACTAATCAGTCAGGTGGACACATAAAATTGACCAGTGGTGCT